GGTATACCTGTTCTCCAATGTTCATTGCAGCACTCTTTACCACTCTTTACACTAGCCAAGAGTTGGAACCAGCCCAAATGTCCATCATCAGATGAGTGGATACCGAAAATGTGGTATATCTACACAATGGAATACTACTCTGGTGTAAAAAGGAATGAAATACTGCCATTTGCAACAACATGGACTGACCTAGAGAGAATTATATGAAGTGAAACAAGTCAGGCAAAGAGAGAGAAATATCACATGTTCTCACTTATTTGTGGGAGCCAAAATAAATAAATAAATCCACAAATAACCTGGGTGGGGGAGGGAGGAAGACGCAACAATTACAATTCCTTGAAGTTGATATGACAAGTAAACAGAAAGGAGGTTGTTGGGAGGGAGGGGGGTGAGAGAGAAAGGAGGGAGGTTTTGATAACGTGCCACAATAATCAACCACATTGTATATTGACAAAATAAAATAAAATTTTTAAAAAATGACACAATTTAGAAAGTGAATAGGCAAGCCACAGAGAAAACATTTTCAAGACATATATCTAATGACTTGTATCCAGAATATATAAAGAATACTTACAACTCAATAATGATAAGACAAACAACCCAATTTAAAAATGGGTAAAATATTTTAACAAGTACTTTACCAAAGAACACATACAAATGGCCAATATGAAAATAAAAAAATATTTCACATCATTAACCATAACTTCTTTAGAAAGAAGTATGACAGTTTCTTACACATTTAAACCTATAACCTAGAATTGCTGGCTCAGTGGAATTCCATTCCTAGGTATTTATTCAAGACACACAAAAAACATGAACCCATGAAGACTTTTACATGAATGTTCATAGCAGCATTGTTCATAATAGCCCAAACCGGAAACAACCCAAATGTCCATTTACAGGAGAATGAATCTGTGGTATGTTCATTCAATGGAATACTATTCTGCAATAAAAAGTAGCAAACTATGGAAACAAAAGGATGAATCCTAAAAAAAATAAAAAATCTTTATGCTACGTGAAAGATGCCTTATACAAGAGAGTACATGTTATATGATTCCATTTATATAAAGTCCTAGAACAGGAAAAACTGTGGTGAAAACAATATCAGAACAGTAGTTGCCACTGGAGGTAGTTTCAGGGATTGACTGGGAAGGGGCATGAGGGGGCTTTCAGGGGTGATAGTAATATTCTGTATCTTGATAGGGGTTTGGATGACACAGATTATGCATTTGCCAAAATTCAGAGACCGTATGCAGAGGCTTTGTGCATTTTCCTGTATATAAATTTTATTATTATTTTTTAACTGTAAAAAAAAAATCTGGGCTTCCAAATTGTTTTGAGCAGGGTTAGTGGCCTATGGCCTGCCAAGGTAATATGATATGATGGAAAGGGCCCAAGGGCCCAGACTTTATTTTATTTTTTTTATTATTTTTTTTTTGTTAAATTTTTATTTTGTCAGTATACAATGTATATGATTATTATGGCCCATCACCGACACCCCCCCCCCCCCCCCCAAAGCGGGGGGGGGGGGGGAGAGGAAGATATAACAACCACAATTTTTTTATTTTTTATTTTTTATTTTTTTGTTAAATTTTTATTTTGTCAAT